GAGGATAGACCCCCAGGAAGATGGGCCCATGGAGGATAGACCCCCAGAAAGATTGGCCCATTGAGGATAGACCCCCAGGGAGATGGGCCCATTGAGGATAGACCCCCAGGGAGATGGGCCCATTGAAGATAGACCCCCAGGAAGATGGGCCCATTGAGGATAGATCCCCAGAAAGATGGGCCCGTGGAGGATAGACCCCCAAGAAGATGGGCCCATTGAGGATAGACCCCCCAGCCTGCGGGAACCTACTTACTGAAATATGGCTCCTTGTACAAATGGCCATCCAGATGACATGGTCAGTGAGCAGTACTTCTGCTTTTCAGGCACAATTTGACATCGCAGTGGCCAGCGAGATCATGGCAGTGCTGGCCTTGACCGACAGCCTCACGGACATGAAGGAGCGGCTGGGAAGAATGGTGGTGGCCAGTGACAAAAATGGGCAACCCGTGACAGCAGAAGATTTGGTGAGTAATGTCCGTCTCAGGAACTCAGGAGAGCTCTCTGTGTCCCTGTGGTAGATTCAGGAGAATGAGGGTTTTCTTCTTACCAGCGTGTGTCAAGGAAATTCAGATGATTTCTGCAGACACATTTGTCCCTCACCAGCCTGTTTGTCATGCGGCAATGTGTTTGTACCTCTCTGCAGCCAAAGCACATGAAATTTATCTCCTAAGCTTTTCCTGATAGTTGCCTGTCCTGATCTCTGCTCCCTGGCTGGGGTGGGGCCGCCTCCTGTTAGCTCTCGGCTTTTTTACAAAGGGTGATCTGTGCCAGCTTTAAATCGAGGACAAATCGCCTTTCAAAAGACTAAGAAGTAAGCGGCTCCCCCTTCACGAAAGGGAAGCCAGGGACGCCTGGGTGGCTCAGTCAGTTAAGCGTCCAGCTCTTGATGGCATCTCAGGTCACGATCACACGGTCATGAGATCGAGCCCCGCCTCGGGCTCCACGTGCTGAGCGTGAAGCGTGCTTGGGATTCTTTCTCTGACCCTCCCCCGCTCGTTCTTTCTCTCTCTCAAAATAAATAAACATTTAAAAAACCAAAAAAGAAAGGTGAAGTGAAAATTGGCCCTGGCTTCTTAACCCTGTGCCTTACATTTGGGCGTCACATCATAACACCGGGTCTTGCCTTAATCAGTCTTCCCCATCTCGCTCCCTTTTGAGTTCAGTGATGCTCTTTGAGCTTTCGTGGTGTCCTGGCCCATCACTGTCTCTTGCTGGGCTTCCTCTAATTTGGCGTGCTCATCTCTCTTCCTCTTCGGAATCACCACCTTTTCTGTGAACTTAAACCCCATTGGTGGCATAGCTGTTTCATGTGCCTGGACCTGTTCCGAAGTGCGTAGGGTATGACACAGGCGTTTGGAAAGCCGTGCCACGCTCCAAACTTCAGCTGACTTTCCCACATCCGGGTCACATACCATGATGACAGCTGGATGCTCCCTGGCAGTTGGAAACCAGTTGTGGGAGGAAAAAGGCAAATTAGTATTTTATTAATTCCAGGGGCTTAGGATGTAATTGGAATCCTTTGCCAAAAGTTACTTTTTGGCTGCTTCTGAGAACCTGACTGACTCATCACATAGGTCTTGTCAATCAAATATTAAATATGTCAATTAAATTAAATGTGTTTTTATCAGCAGTCCCTGGGATGCTTAGAATAAAGCTTAATGAGAAAACCCAAATCCAGGTTGCTGTAAAGGTGTTGTATTTTTGAAACTGAGCCTGGGTGGCTCAGTCGGCCAAGCATCCGACTGTTGATTTTGGCTCAAGTCATGATCTCGTGTGAGATCGAGCCCCTTATCAGGCTTTGTGCTGTCAGCGTGAAGCCTGCTTGGGATTCTCTCTCTCTCTCTCTCTCTCTCTCTCTCTCTCTGTCTGTCTCTCTTCCCCTCCCACTTGCGCTCTTTCTCTCAAAATAAATAAATAAATAAATAAGCTTTTTTTTTAAATTATCAATATCTTGTAAACTGTGTAAGCTAAACATATTATGGTTTCTGTATCAATATATTTCTTTGCATGTTCTTAATATTGGGTATTAATAAATACGTATCAAGAATAGTTTGGAACTTAATCTGGAAATATTGTTTCCCTAGATTTATTTTGTGTGTGTGTGATACAAGTCTCAGATCTGGAAATAAACCCAAAGTTGACTCTTTGGGGTCATCTTTTGCCTTCCTTGTTCATAAAAAGCACCTATTTCTTCCAATTGTGTTTCATCAACCTGGAACTACCAATAGTTAGTCTTTCATAAAAAATTAAGGAAGGATTTTTAGAGCATCTATCTTTTCATTTCACTATTTTATAGCTTTTTTTTTTTTTTTAATTTTTTTTTTTCAACATTTATTTATTTTTGGGACAGAGAGAGACAGAGCATGAACAGGGGAGGGGCAGAGAGAGAGGGAGACACAGAATCGGAAACAGGCTCCAGGCTCTGAGCCATCAGCCCAGAGCCCGACGCGGGGCTCGAACTCACAGACCGCGAGATCGTGACCTGGCTGAAGTCGGACGCTTAACCGACTGCGCCACCCAGGCGCCCCTATAGCTTTTTTTTAAACACATTTTTTTAACGTTTATTCATTTTTGAGAGACAGAGACAGCACGAGCGGGGGGAGGGGCACAGAGAGAGAGAGAGGGAGACACAGGATCCGAAGCAGGCTCTGAGCTGTTAGCACAGAGCCCGACGCAGGGCTCGAACTCAAGAACCGAGAGATCATGACCTGAGCCCAAGTTGGACGCCTAACCGAGTGAGCCACCCAGGCACCCCTGTTTTATAACTTTTTATATACTTTGCTCGTGGTCAAAAGGATTTATGTATTGCCATGAGAATTGGAATAAATGGCTTCTGGAAGTTTCTCATAAGACGATCGCTTCTGCCATCCTCTGGAGGAATGTGTCCACACTCTGCCCCCTGGACTCCGCAAACGGACCAGAGCTGCTCTCTTTGCTTGGGCTCGATGACAGTCAAGTGTGTTGGGCGCAACAAGATAAGAGGCATCACCGACGCGGAGGGAGAATGTAATTGACTCACGTATTTTGAAAAGAGGAAGATTGGCTAGATTCTGCCACCTGATGCATTGAGATATGTTTCGTGGCATTTTTATCTTTCACGGGCGACATTGCCGTGCATTTACTCCTGTCGTAGCCTTACAATCACGGACGAGTGTTTTGAAGGCATCTGCCCAGTGTCTGTAGAAGAGGTGGAAGGGTTTTGTTTTGTTTTGTTTTGTTTTGTTTCTCTAAAGGTCCCTCTGTGGACTTCTTTGGCACACTTTTTCCGGTTGTTCTCAGATTTCTTCCCTGTTTCTTCCTTCTCCTGTCTTTTCCAGGAATGGGGAAGGGGATACAGTAGGGGCCTCACCCAGAGCTTTGTAGGACTGGGAGGGGGCAGTAGCCACATTTTATACACAGGCGGCATCGACTCTGTTCCGGGCAGACAGGCAGCATGAGAGATGGAAAAGGAGAAGCCTTCCAAATGTAGTTTTCTGAGTGCCTCTGGCTCTGCGGGATGAAACACTGGGAAACCAAGTGTTCGTTGGTTGGTTTGAGAAAAATGGGTGCTTTAGGACATTCCCCTTTATCCTTCTCCATTCCCACTCAGTAAATAGCCTTATTGTCATACTTTATCTGATTTCTTCAGGCAAGAGTATAATCTCTGATAATGAAAAAATAATGTGTGTAATTGCCGGAAGACACTTTTAGACAGACTGAAAGATCTGCTGTATGGCAAGCCTCTTAAACACCACCAAGGAAGGTGTTTTTAAAAAAAAAAAAAAAAAAGCAGGGACTGCTACTTCTCCATCACTTCACATCTCAGAATGGTTGACATGCATTCAGGTGGGGGAGAGAAGGATACGGCCGCCGGAGCCGTGGTACCCGTAGCTCCGAGCTGAGAGCCGCCTGTGGGAATGCCCACCTCTGAGGCGGGCTGGTGAGAAATGGCCATGAGATTCACCTTTGCACGGATGATCTTTTGTCAGTCACTTAAAGCAGGTTTTTTTTCCTCTCTCCTTTAGGGGGTCACAGGCGCATTGACAGTTTTGATGAAAGATGCAATAAAACCAAATCTGATGCAGACCCTAGAAGTAAGTGATTTTCTTTTTATAGAAATTGTTGACAGCGTTTGCATTCATCGGATCGCTTGTGCACCCCCACACAGCGTGAGCGTTTCCAGCCAACGTGAGCCCGCAGGGAGCATCCGAAAAAGTCCTTGGTCCTCCAAAAAAAAAAACAAACTTAAAAGTGTATTTACAGATTCTTTCCTTAGGTAATGCAGTACTAATTGACTGGAGTGGAGACTTTAAAACGCCATATCTAACACCTCAGTAAGTTATGTAGCCACGTTTATGTGATGTTTTCTGTTTTGCCTTTTTTGGACTTAGCTTTTCATAATCCATTAGGTTTGGGGTTTGGGGGGGTTTCCCCCCCAAGCAAAACACGCAGCGTATGCCAAGAAATGCTCCCCAGGCAAGCTTTTATAAGATTTGCCCTGCCCTTGTCTTCATCGAACTTAAATTTTCTCATCAAAATACCCGTATTTCAGTCTGGTTTTCTGGTCACTCAAGGGAGGCGGAGGCAACCAGCAGAGAAGGAAGGGGCAAGACAAACAATATCCACCCATTTATTCGTTCATTCAGCTGATAGAACGCTCGGTTTGAGCATACCCTCTGCCGTTCGCTAACCTTGACCTTGGCCACGCCTGTTCTCTCCCATGTGAAGGGATGATGGTACCGAAGACTAACTTAATGGGGTCGTTATGAAGGTTCGGTATTCATCTAACACGTGACACAGGCAGGCCTTGGAGCAGTGGCTCAGGACAACAAAGTCCCTGCCCTCTCGGAGCTTGTGCTTTAGTGGGGGAGACAGATGGCAGAGAAGTGTGTCGATATGTAGCATGTCAGCTGCCGGCAAAGACTGAAGAAGAAAAGTCAGAGGGGTTAAGGGAGCAGAGAGCGATGTGTGTGTGTGTGTGTGTGTGTGTGTGTGTGTGTGTGTGTCTGGCTGGTGTCTGGTGACCAGAGATGGGAGCAAGGCAAGAGACCGAGCTGTGTGTGAGGAGCAGCTTTGCGGGCGGAGGGTGACAGTTAGTGCAAAGCCTTTGGTCAGGAACGTGCTGTGCAGTCGGAGGGGCACCCGCCGAGAGCAGGAATCCAGACGCAGGACACCAGGACAGAAATGGTGGAACCAGACCAAGCTGGAAGGTGCGCAGTTGAGGGCGCGGGGCGGGGAGAGTGCAAGCGCCTTTCCGTGGGGCCTCTGCCTCCCGCAGCGTGAGCTCCATGCGACCAAGCGTTCGTTTCTCTGTCCCCGTCTATGTGGCCTCTTCGCGAGGTCTGACGCAGGTAACGTTTCTTCCTTCTGGAACACTTGGTTCTTCTGACTTCTGTGGTGCCTTGTGTCCCTGGACCTCCTGCTGGCCTCCCCTCCATTCCCTTTGCTGGCCTGTCCTCAGCTCAGCTTCTGAATGTTGGCGAGTGTGAGCCCTCCCTTCCCCCACCATCAGCCAGCCACATGATGACCCCCCAGACTCTCGTTCAGAATCTCCTGACCTCAGAATTTCAGAGTCGTAGGTGTGCCTGCCAAGAGCCGTTGCGTATCAAACTTAGTTATAAAATAGGGTCTTTGAGTTTCAGCCTGGCCATGGTTCCAGCCAAAGTCCTAGGAATCATCCTGGAGCCTGTCTCCATCCCTGCAGAGGCTTCTTCCGTGTGTGTGCCCGGCCTCCAGTGTACCCTCCTGCCCAGCTAGCCTCACTGCCTCCGCTCTCCCTTCCAGAATGCTTTCTCTGCTCCGCCACCCGAGAGCTCGGAAACTGAATCAGGCTCTGTTGCTCTCCTGCCTAGAGCCTTGGGTGGTTTACCCTGGTCCTCCCTCTGGCTGGAAACCTCGCAGGGTCTGGCCCTTGCCTGCCTCTTCCCCCATCCTCCCTCTCCCTGCCCGGGACATCCCTTGCAGACACCCGATATCCCATGTCTGGTTCCCTCCTGTACTTTAGGACTCATGTCCTTTATTTTATTTTTTTTCTTTCCAAGATTTTATTTTAATTCAACTTAGTTAGCATACAGTGTAGTCTTGGTTCAGGAGTAGAATCCAGTGATTCATCTCTTAACACCCAGCGCTCATCCCAAAGAGTGCCCTTCTTAATGCCCGTCACCCATTTAGCGCATTCCCCCTCCCACCTCGCATCCAGCACCCCTCAGTTTGCTCTCTGTATTTAAGAGTCTCTTCTGGTTTGCCTCGCTCCCTCTCTGTTTTTATCTCTTTTTTTCCCCTTCCCCTACGTTCTCTGTCATGTTTCTTAAATTCCACATAGGAGTGAAATCATATGCCCTTTACATATCAGCATCCTGGAGAGGCCTTCCCGGGACACTGTGTCCAACCCAGCCCCAGTCCCTGTGTCCTGTCACTGTCCTGTCATTCTCCGCATGTCAGGGAGTATCAGCGTAAGAGTCCCTACTTTGTTCATCCACCAGGATGAGAGCAGGACCTCTTCCACGTGGTTCACCACCGGATTGTGGCTCCTAGAAAGTGCCTTGCATGTACTAGGCGCTCGGCAAACATTTGTTGAATAATTAAACGACTACTTACTAACTTTTACTACGTCGCTCCTAAAAATACAGATTTGTTTAATAAACAACTGAGTGAATAAGCAAAAAGCTTAGAGACGTGACCCTGCTTCCTCATAACACTTCCCCCTCAAAAATGAACATACTGTTATCATCATTATTTGGGATCATCAGATTATTGTTTTAAATGATTATCTTCCTCAAATTAAAAATTACCTGCACTTTATAAGATAATGACCCATTCTAAAAGTCTAGTTCCATTAGGGAAGGAGTCAGTGGGCCGGGCTGCTCCCAAATGATTCTCGTACTCACATTTTGTGTCCATTTTTCACTTAAGACCAGGCCATTTGTCATTACGTTAACAGACAATGGGCATCGTTTAAAAAAATAACAAAACAGCGTTCAGTTAAAATACCACCTGCATTTATGAACTCTGCTACGTGGGTCCTAACCATTCCCAATGAACCTGGCTAACGAGTGGCACTTGGAATGTAAGTCAGCCTGTAACGTAAAAACCATTGTTCAGTATATAGATGGTGCTTTGGTCATGTTTGAATACCCTTGACTGTTGGTCCCCTAGCAGGTTATCAGGGGTTACCTTACTACTGGTTGCCAGGAGACCCGTAGTTCTCCGTCCTGGCTGCACGTTAGAATCTCCTGGAAAGATTTAGAGATACTAATGCTAGGCTCCACCCAGACCAAGTGAACCAGGATATCAGGGAGGTAGCGCCTGGGTATCCCAGGTGATTCTCATGTATGGCCAGAGTAAGAACTTCCCTGCGGAATATTTTTTTTTTTTAACGTTTATTTTATTTATTTTTGAGACAGAGACAGAGCATGAACGGGGGAGGGGCAGAGAGAGAGGGAAACACAGAATCGGAAGCAGGCTCCAGGCTCTGAGCCATCAGCCCAGAGCCTGATGCGGGGCTCAAACTCATGGACATGAGATCGTGACCCGGGCTGAAGTCGGACGCTTAACCGACTGAGCCACCCAGGCGCCCCACCCTGCGGAATATTTTAAGAAGACAGAGAAATGGAAATGTCTTAACATTTTAACCCTGGGTGAGCCATATATGTATCCATGTGCTGTCCAATATGGTAGCCTTTGGCCACACGTGGTTATTTTTATCTCAATTACTTTATTTATTTATTTTTTTTTTAATTTTTTTTTTCAACGTTTATTTATTTTTGGGACAGAGAGAGACAGAGCATGAACGGGGAGGGGCAGAGAGAGAGGGAGACACAGAATCGGAAACAGGCTCCAGGCTCTGAGCCATCAGCCCAGAGCCCGACGCGGGGCTCAAACTCACGGACCGCGAGATCGTGACCTGGCTGAAGTCGGACGCTTAACCGACTGCGCCACCCAGGCGCCCCTATCTCAATTACTTTAAATTGAATACAATTTCACATTTGGTTCCGCAGTCGTATGAGCTACCTTTCTATTTATATAGTTATTTTCTAAAAATTGGGGGGGCACCTGGGTGACTCAGTTGGTTAAGCATTCGGCTTCGGCTCAGGTCGTGATCTCGCAGTTCGTGGGTTCGAGCC